TTCTCGAAAGTCTAATTAAACATAGGCAATGGGAAAATTTTTCAATTGCTATATCCTACTTGTTACGACTGTCCATAAAAGTGTTATCAAATAAAAAACTGTTTTGCAGAATTAAATGAAAAATCATGAAATATAGAAATGGATACAAGTCAAACTAACAGAAAACTTCATTTTAATATGTTTGGGATTTTCTTGTTATTAACAATACCTTTTCATTAGAATTTAGCATAAAAATAGATGTGATGTACTTTGTTGATTTTATTCATTTTTTATTGGTTTTAAATCAACTGTGTTTGGTTTTATATACTAAATGAATTTAAACGTTATTGGCCAATGCAGAGATTTCATTAAGAATTTCTGTTAAATCAATTTTTTTATTTTTACAAAATTCGAGAGTAAGGGTAGGAGTAAACATAAACCTTAAAATGTTCAACAGAAACAGAAAGATAAGATACTATAAGATACATATATAAAGAAAGATAAGAAACGTGTATATAAGATATATATATACACGTTTTGCTTTAATCCGCGTAAAATTGAAATAAGCATCTGTAAATTTCAATCGTTATTTTTTCTCTCACAAACAGCGTATTTTGATGCTTTTGGTAATGATTGCTGCTTTAATTTTTTCTGTCTCATTTAAATATATCACAGCTTGATAACTGATGTAGTTTCTGTTTCATGATGTATTTTTTCTGCATAATTTGCTTAAAAAAATTTCACATAAAAATATCGGATTAAAGAAAAGAAGCAACATTTAATGCCAATTTAGATACTAAATTCTGATGCAATTTGGATTAAAAATAATGCAGTTATTGCATCTGTTTTCAGATATTTGTAAAATAAAGTATAATGTTATCGGCTGTGAAAGTATTTTGATTCATATATCTTATTTTACAATAGACCTCGCAACATTTAAAATTAGATATACATATTCTTAACCCCATAATAATTCTATTATTTCAAGAAAACGGTCATAAAAGGAGCAATTTTTTTCACGAAAATTATATGAAAAAAGGTGTAAGTATAATGTATTTATTCATTTTTGATTTTCGTTATTTTTTTTAGCTAGAAATTTAAAACCTTATATGTACTCTATACGTTCAAGTAACTCCTTAACGTACACATTATTAAAAAATATTTTATAACAGAACACAAACCTAGTTATCACAGAACACAAACCAAATCACAAAGGGCATAGGTAGCTGAGCTAAGAGTACGAAATACATGTACGAAATAAAGCTGGCCCCATCTAGTGGGTAAGATAGGAAATAAAAAAAATCCAGGCACAAGAGATGGGCATATTACCATTTTTGTGCATCACTTTTGAACGCTCTAGCCAGGAAATATCACGGGAGAAGAAATTGGAGATGAAAGCTTACCTCGTGCTTTTGACGGGACCGAGAATGAAGAGGTTAATTATTCTACGATTCTGAAACAAGCTGGTCTGTTAATGTCCTGTTGTTAAATAGAATAACGCTTTTAAGTAGATTATATGCAATTTTTCAAAACTAATGTGAGTTCTCAAAATTTATTTATGACTGGTAGGTTAAAATTTGTCCATCTTTAGGTAGCATCTTGTATGACGATTTAGAAAATTACTGGAAATGTCAATATGAGGTAGAGTCACGGAATCCTTAAAATTAAAAAGCGTTTGTGATATAGTTTTTCAATTTTAAAAAAAAAATTACTTTAGTGCTTCTCTGTTTAAGAGCATAATATATGAGAAAATTGAAAACTATAAATGCATATTAACTTTTAATTAATCACAAAAGACTCCCAAACTTGATGTTAATTTTTATAACTTTTTCAAATTTTAATTTATTTCTTCTCAATAACATTGTATTTAGTACATTGTGCATTGTACATCCATTGTACATTGTACATCCTGAGTAACTTTTTATTTAATGATCGAAAGATCACGTACTAACACTTAATCTTGATGATTCAAGTGCCGGATCTCAAATATGCTACTTATTTAGTGCAGGCGATAATTTAAGCTATAAAATAAGACTAAACGTACATTCTTTGAATAGACATACCATTTTTTTTCTACTGGTTTTTGGCCCTCAAAATATGGGGGATAGTCGTTATCTGGTAAATATGATATGGTCCTAATAGTTAGATCAGAAGAACAGTCGAAAGTTAATTTTACATTTTGCGCATTTTACAATATCTTGAAAAATTTTTGCACACAATTATGAAATTTGAAATATTTCCATGTAAGAAATAATGTTAACAATTATTTATTATTTTTATTATTGTATATTATAATGGTTGAAAAATTTTGAATAGTAAGGTATGCAATTTTTTTTATATAATTTTAAAGAATTATTTTATTTACACGGCAAATTATGAAATTTAAGCAAAATCTGTGGAGTCGTGAGGGAGAAATCAAATCTTAAATATACGATTTTTTAAAAATTTTATAACTCATACACTATTTGAACGATTGCTCTTAAAATTTTGAATTTTACCATTTAAAGTTACATTTCTTAAAATGATGTTAGAATTGTATACCTTGAATGAAATATTAAGAAATAATAAATAACTGTTAAAATTACTTTTGCATGGAATTATCTTTAGGTAAAAAATTTTTATGATTGTGAGCAAAATTTTTTCGATTCGATCAAAAAGTTTTCGAGATATGGTGAAATATTCAAAAATTGAAACCAACATTCTGGGGTCCAAATTTTGTGTCGCTCTCCTGACCAGTTGATTTTAACCATATTGTCCAGATTGCTGCTGCCTTTATGTTTTGTGGATCAAGACATTGAGGGTCAAGTAGCTTTTTTACTTTGTATTTCAGCCGGCGTTGAAGAGCCGATTCAATTCTGTCGAAGTTCATCTCCATAGCCTTGAAATTTTGAATCCAACCCAGAAGACAAAGGAACTCCTGGATCAAGCATTGGGGCAAAATAGCTTTCTTGGAAAACTTCTTAATAGAACTATCCCACATTTGAGGTTACATAAAGATGTTAGTTGGATGGCAGGAGGATTCTAACCCATAATCCGTTTATTACTGAAGTTATTTTAGGGCAACACTGTGGTCGGTGCAAGAGTTATTTCCGTAATGGCACATCAATACCTTTATGCGTTTCTAGATAAATGATGTAAAATTCAAGTGATTAAAAACACGTTATTCTAAGTCTATAACTCAACTTATTACGAATCTAAAAAATGTCACATTAAACAAAAAAACCCTTCCCTCATCAATTTCATCAAGCTTGAACTTAAATCAATTTTCCACAAAAGTTTCGTACTACAGCATTGCCAATCAAAAATTTAAGTACTTAATCAACATCGCATGAAATATGCTCACTAGAATCCGAACACTTGCAGCGATTTTAAATTTCCCAAAATTAACTTATTAAAGTGCCTAGCAGTACTAATTTCCTCGCTTGTAGCTTTCCTCCAAGAATAGCATTTGATTTGCAGGAACGGTTCTTCGAAATTGGAAAGCTGTTTCAAATAAATGAGCTCTAGGCCATTATTAATGATGTCATTCCTTAAAACCCCTCTTTCTAGGAAACTTAATAATGATTTGCATTTTCGAGGACAATCTCTACCTTTAAAGTATTGCAATCTCCTCTTAAAAGTTACTTAATGTAATAGGGGAGACTTGGCGAATTTAGTATAATCTTGCCAACGCATGAAATTCTCAAAATGTACCGCAGTTATCTGATTCGGAATTAATTTAACCAGTAGGAATTAGAAAATCATTTCAGCTTAAAATTTAAAATTCAAATTGAATTGTATATAGGGTGGCTAATAAAAAGTTTAATAATCGGGATAATAACTAAACTGCGCAAAAGATAGTAGTTTTGTTTTTCGCTAGTGATTGCAACTTCATTGATGTCTCCATTTTTTCAGAACTGAAAATAGGTGTATTTTCAATATTTTTACAAGAACATTTCTAGTAATTAGAAAACTAGTTACCGATAATGGGGTAAGTTTATTTTTTATTTTTTTGTGTAAGAAAATTTCATTGTATATGTATTTATTCTTAAACGTTACGATGGCTTTAAGAAAAATATTTTAGGGGAAATATAAATCTAAGAAACGCAATAATTATGTATATAAATGAGTACTTAATCTATACTTCAGTATGCTAATAATATACCTATTCGAGTCTTATAACAGTTGCTCTACAGATTGATTAAATAAACGTGATGAGTTCAAAAAATAATTTTTTATTTAATTAAATGCCAAAATGTTTTGCTTATCATGATGTAAAGAGAGAATTATTTATGATTGAATTTACTAGGGTAATTACAACGTTACATGTGATTATTTTTTTTTCTTTTACGGCACAAAATTATTTTTAATTTTACCAATTAACTGTGAAATATTATTCTAATATGCCCCTCTAACGAAGTTCGGTTTGTCATGAATCAGTTGATTTAAATTTTACAATTCAAGATAACTTAGCCAAAACAGTTTAAAGATATAATCGCAAAATCTAAACAGCTAATTTATACAACGATATTCCCTCTCCTGATTTCTCTGCCTACATTAACACAGTCACAATGTTTTTATTTATTTATTTATGTATTTTTTTTGTTGCTTACAACTCCCGGAAAAAAGAAAGCCTCCACACGGGTTACCATAATCGAGAAATTGGATCTTTTTGTAGTCTGAACGTTGACAGTTTTCGTCTTTTTCCCCATTGTGCAGCTTAGTAGCCTAAACGTTGTGAAATCTTTCTAATCCCCCCAGCATTAATATTGGTGAAATACATTCATAGTTAGTGAGATACTTTCATTTTATTAAAGCAAATACTATGGTTTTCATAGACATTGAATGGAATCAAAATGCGATGGTGAAAAGTTGAAGGATCACAAAAAAACTGATATCTAAACGATATCTATACAACTCAATAGCACAACACCATTGTTTTGTTCAGAAAATTTATTGCTTAGACTGAAGATGATGCTTATGTGCAAATAAACAGTTATCAATAAACAATAGAGTTTAAGTGCAATCTATCTCCATTACTTCAGTCTGAGTTACATTTTGGAAATAACCTTTATTGGCCTATCTTTAATAATAACGTTATCAGAAAACATTATTTATACTCTTATTCGAAAAGAATGCACAAAATCTGGCGACTTAGCAATCAAATGCTCAAACTCTGGGAATGTGATAAAGCCATCATTATCTAAATCAGCTTCAGAAAACACATAGTTAACAACTTCTTCACATTCCTCGTTCGACAGCTGATTTCGAGTTACTCTTTTTAGACCTTCTAGGACATCTTCTTTTGAAAGCATATCATCGTCATCAAAATCATAAATTCGGAAAGCGTAGGAAGTTTTAACACTAACTGGGGCCTGTTCGGACAAAGCTGACATCATTTCTAGAAAATCCTCGAATGATATGTAGCCTTCCTCAGTACAAAACACTTTCATAATTCTATCTTTGAAAGGATTGACAGCCAGTTCAGAAAAACTTTGCATGATAACAGACTGGTGTATGATAGGGTTTTTCTCACTTTCGCTAACATCGGGATCGAAACTACAAAATAAATTATGCAATTTCATTATTTGCTTTTTGGATAAATATGTCAATGCTTGATATTCTAAAAGCTCATCATCACTGAAGATGATTCTTTTAGGAGCGAACCAATCTAATGGCTTCAGCAAGAATTTAGAAATCCTTGAAATATCCATGGGTAAGATATATTTTTTTCATAAAATTTTTATTATTTAGTTGATTATTGCATGCATTTAAAATCTTTATTGTTGTTCATCACTTCTTGTAGCTCACATAGATATAAAAAGAAACCCAACATTTATTAGAATTAACTTAAAAGCCTATGAAAGTATGCTAACAGTCTGACAAATGCAAATAACTTACTTTTATGGATGCTTAATCAAAATATGTCATTCTCATGTTCTGAATCGTCCCCAGTTACAATGAATAAATACAAAAAAGTTGCAGTTACCATAACTGGCACCATTTTGTGGAGCAAAGCGTTAAACATTTGGCATCATCATGATGTGGGGGCGGAGTTTTCGACCATGCCAACCTTCATCTATCAGAAGGTACCTCGTGATTGAATCAAGTTAGCATGTCACATATACCAGTGAATTGATGTTTAATTTTCGTAGTGGTAGTTACTCCACAATACTCACCCACCAGAATTTTATCAGGGATAGAATTCGATACCACTAGTTGCTGCACTTGTGAAAGACCGGGAGAGCTGTTTGTTGAGTGCTGAATATGAGAGGTGTATTAACATCACGTGGTAGCGTTCGTTGTTGCTTCTGTGTTGGTACCTCGTGATTGAATCAAGTGAGCATGTCCTATATACCAGTGAATTGATGTTTAATTTTCGTTGTGGTAGTTACGCCACAATGATAATAAAATGTTAGCGAGTGAACGTTGCGAGTTATTGATAAACAAGACCATTCACAATCGCAAAATGTATTATGAATTCCTATCAAATTTTCTGATTGGATTGACATATAGCCATAGTTTTAATTTAAAAATATTTTGACTTCATTGACTGTTTGTGACATAACTACCCCCCTCCCCGACTTTTTAAACCTCAATTCACTAGTATATAAGACACGCTAACTCGATTCAAACTTCAGGTACCTTTTGTTAGATGAAGGTTGGCATTGCCAATTAAACCTTTCACCCCATTGATGACCCGGACGTGATATGAGCTCCCCTACATCCAAAGTAACGCCCACTGCGATGGATGGCCCACATTGAACAGTTGACTTACTCATTGTGACTGCGTCATAGTCTTCTTCGCGCTGTTGCTTTTCAGTTTCATTTACATACAGCGGGATCCAGTACACATTCGATTGTTAATAGCAACACAGAGAGACCACACACACAACCATGAACGTAATACAGCTCTATAAC